TTCTCATTTTATTTGCAGACGACCAAGTACTTTTTGCTAAATCCCCTGAATCTCTACAGGCAATGCTAACGGATATTGAAACTTATTGTAATACATGGGCGTTTGAAAATAAATACATCTAAAACAAAAGCAATGATTTTTGAAAAAGGCAGACATACACAGCACATTTTTTATATTTACAAACACACCAATTGAACTTGTAGAATCATTTAAATACCTTGGAATTACCCTCTTTAAAAATGGCAATTGGTTTAGAACTCAAATAGAATAGCTCAACATGCCTCATTTGCTCTACATAACCTGTTTAAAGTATTTAAAAAATATAGAACTGCCAACATATCAGAAATGTAAATTGTTTGATTCTCTAGTCGGTTCCATTTTTAAATTATAATTCGGAGATATGGGGAATGCACGATGCTAAAGATATAGAAGTTATTCATACTAAATTTTTGCGTAGAGTCTTAGGGGTTAAAAAATCTACTAACTTGTCAGCACTTTATGGTGAGCTTGGTCGTTACCCGTTACATATTACCAGAAAACTTAACATGATAAGATATTGGTCAAAAATACTTAAACTTAATGATGCATCACTTGTTAAGCAGACGTATTTACTTCTTAAGTCAGACACAGATGTTGGTCGAAATTATAACGGAAAAAATTGGGCTTCTTTTATCAAAGACACCTTGTCAAGTCTTGGCTTTTTCATATATTTGGGACAATCAGTTTTGATATAGATATACCATATAATACTATTAAACAAAGATTTAATTGACACCTTTCTACAAAGTTGGTATGCCTTCTATCAATAATTCACCAAGATTACAAACATTATTGTATATTTAAACATTCTTTTGAAATGGAAAAGTATTTAGATTATGTCCAAGAAAATAAATATAGAATTGCTTTAACTAGATTTCGAACTTCTTCCCATAATTTATTTATAGAAACTGGTAGATACGAAAACATTCCTAGAGAACAGCGATTATGTAAATCATGCAATATGAAGCAAATAGAGAGTGAATACCACTTTCTCCTTGTGTGCCCCAACTACCGAGATCTTCGAACAAAATATTTTAAAAAATACTACTGCCATTGGCCTACTATGAATAAATTAGATAGTATCTTGTCGTCAGACTCAAAGAAAACTATATGTGCCTTAGCTAAATTTTTGTATTGGGCAAATCATAAACGTATATCTTAATCTGATATTTTTTCTCTGTAAAACTATATTGTTGATAAGTACAAGTCTTATTTGTTCCCATATTAACTTGTATTCTTCAGAAAACTTGTGTATAATTTTTAACTGCTATTTTTCTCACTGTACATGTGTATCATTGTAAATTGGCTATAAGCAATGTATTTTGTTTTATGCTTAATAAAATTCGTATTCGTATTCGTATTCGTATATGCCACTGGTCAGAGACCATCAACCGGACATTTTTTGAACATTTTTCCTGAAGATTTCATAATGATAAAGCATAGATCTGAAAATTTGACACAGTGCAGCTAGGTTCTTCTCCTTACTAACAAATTAGTTTGTTTATTTCTGATATTATATGTTGTCACTTACATATGAGGCCCATCAATGAGGGTATCACAAATTCAATTACCTAAATTGTCAACACTTAACAGTACCATGTGTCTGGACAGATATGTACACGAGACTGAATGACATTGATTTACATTTGTAATTCAATAAAAGCTTGGATGTTTTAATTTTTTATTTTTAATGTGATATAAAACAAGATTTCAGCAGCAAATGCTGAAGTTTTGGATATTCTAGTGATTAATTTGCAAATTATTATACATATGTAGCTAGTATAAGGTCAGTTATTGCATTCTGGGTCAGTTATTGCATTCTTGACATCTAATTTTTCAATGTCTATGACAATTGATATGTTCTTGAAATAGACATTAAAATATTACCATTTACAAAAGTTGAAATAAAATTAATTACTTGATTGAAGAAGATTTAACATGCTTTTATTGTTGACGATAAGGTAACTTATACATGTAGATCGACAACCACTGAACAAAGAAAAAAGGTTAATCAGGCATTTTCTGGGCCATCCGGGTTTGGTGGTTGTGCGGTTTTAGTGGTTCCCAACTAAATTATTGCAATGACAACAAATTTATGAGCTATATACCTCGATTGGGAATATTCTCCAGCCTGATGAAAGAAATAAGTAGATCTGAACTTAAGTCAGATTGTGTGACTAACTTGGACAATATTTTGCTTACTTTCATCAAAAAGATAGTTCAACAATGGAGTCAACAGCTTTACATCTTCTTCATTGACAGGCGTGTGTTTATCATTTTTTATCATGCTGTTTAAAATGCTAACACCTCTATCAAAGATACTTCCAAAGGGATAAAGCTCTTTAATAACTGGCTTCCCATGACAGGTTGCCCTAGAAAAAGGCTTTCCATTTTCAGCAGCTGCATCGCAGTAGCTAATTTCAAGAGATACAAGAGAATTAACACGCTCAACACAAAGATGTCTATACGAGTTGCAAAAGGCTGATTTAACATCTGACGAATGGAACTTATTGAATATTGTGGCGTGTCGTGATTTTTTCCGCGGTGGTTCATCACCTCTTTCGGCCATCTTAATAATCAATCTCAATTTCCCGGGGAAAAATCCCGGGATCCGGAATCCGGAACGCTATAATTGGAGCAGTACCTCGAGACGCTTGCAACATTCATTTATCTTTTTTTTCACCGATTATTACATTTTTCATGCATTTCCATACAAAAATCGGTGTGAAAAGATGAATTAGACATTTTAAAGTTCATTCTGTTGGGTAAAAAGGCAAGATTTTAGCATTTTATCATTCAAGCGCCTTGTCCGGTATATACCGGAATACGGTATTTAGTGTGGTGCTCCAGATATGCACGATTTTCACGAGCTCTTACTTTTTTCTTGATTTATTATATCACGGCATTATGCCGTCTATTGTGAATCTGAATATTGAAAAAGTCATTGCCACATGGTTTTCGTTTTTTAGGAAAGTTTATATATAATATACACCCCTGGTTCTTTATAAGATTTCTATCCCGCATAATTAAAAATATTCAATTTCTCCAACAAATTCTGCTACTGTTCTAAAGCCTGAAAAAAAACATTCCAAAAGACACTCTTATTTTCATGTTTGTCACATCAACGCCGGATTTTTTAATGACATAAAATCTCACAATGACAATTATGTTTTTTACCCGGCAATGACAGTATGTGTATCGGTGTTTATATAAAACGTTTTTGATTTGATTATAAGCGTTTTGCCCTGGCATAAGAGAAACTCGTCAAATATTCACTTTAAACGAAAGGCATAATTATGTAGAAGACTCATTTCGTTTTTTTTTAGTTTGTTACTATAATAAGATCTAGTGCAAGAGATTGGAAAATGTGATAATATATATCATAATCCGAACTTGATGTGTCAAGAAGTCCGGCAAGACACCAATGAAAATACGGAAAATATGTTTCACTTTTTACAGTGAAAATACGGAAAATAAAAATACGCATTTTATTTCATCAAAATTTCTCAGTATTTCATTTATGAGTATATAGTAAAGAGGGGATAATCAAGTTTTTTTTCTGTAAATAAAGGATTTATTTCATCGAGTGGTAGGAAAATAATGTTTCACAAGTGGCTGTAACCACGAGTGACATATGATAATTTTCATATCACAAGATGAAAATGAATCCCGTACTTATAGAAAAGAACTTGAATTTTCCGTTTATTATATATATGAGCCGCGTCACGACAAAACCAACATAATGGGTTTGCGACCAGCATGGATCCAGACCAGCCTGTGCAAACCCTATAGCAAGTAGAGAAACTGATAGCGAACAGCATGGATCCTGATCAGACTGCGCGGAAGCGCAGGCTGTTCTGGATCCATGCTGGTCGCAAACCCATTATGTTGGTTTTGTCGTGACGCGGCTCATATACTATTTTATGTGCGAAATTACTAAATTAGATGAGGGTCGGTTTATAATGACGCTTCTGCCGACAATATGGAATTAGTGTAAAAATAAACGCAGACAATAGTACAACAATCATACAACAACAAAAAAGTCAAAATGATTCTCAGGCAGTCGTTCCCCCAAAACCATCTCCGCAAAGTAATGTAGTTGTAGAAGCGAGTTCCCCGTCATATCATGTCCCGAGCTGACAGGGCGTAGCTGGGGCAGTTTTAAATATACGCATTTATAAATTATACGCAGGGATGAAGGGTCCGGCGTAGGCCCCTTTGTAGGTTCAGGGTGTGAAGTTCCATTGATTTCAGGCCCGGATCCACCGCGGGGGGGTTAAGGGGTCAATTATTTTGGAAATAAAGTCAGATCTTTATTTGTAGTTCAGACGCAGAACCATATTTTAAATGGTTTGCATATTAACGTATATATCACCACCTTATTGTCCTCTACAAAAGTGGTATAAATCATGCCACTGGGTTCAAAATGGGCCCTGTTTATTTACACTATTGAAGTCTTCTTGTGCAAAATATCTTAGTTCTCTTGTGTCAAACTTACATAATCGTCATGTGGCATTTTCGAAATATTTTTCAGAAATTATGCAGGTTGTGTCAAAAATGACACATCCAATGTGACCTAATTACTTACTTATGCATGGAAGATTTGTGACCTTTTTAACAATGTATCTCAGGTGAGTTATCCAGGCCCATCATGACACTCTTATCAATACCATGCGTTACAAATACTGCACTGACTATATTTTCCTTGTACGTTCAATTAGAGGAAATCTTGTAGCAATACTTCACTTCAATAGATAGTGAAGCATAAATGACTATATGTACACAGTGGATGCAGCTTATATGATATCAAGAATGGTAATCAACTTATTACGGGTTGCAACTTTCAATTGAAAACACGAAGACGTTAAATACGCGCATTCTGTATAAAACATGGATGTTTGATTTTATTTTTATCAATGTCTTAAGCGACCTGACGTTAGCGACGTCACAGATTATGACGTCAAAATTAACGTTATCGCTATAGACATAAGAAGCGACATTAAAGACGGGAAAGCTATTTAAATTATAAAGCGAAAAAAGGAGAGATAAATCATCATTTTAAGTGAATAAAGGTAAAAAATATTTAATATTAGTTCTTATTGATGGTGTTTCGTTTCATATTCATGTTTTTTTTGTAACTTTAATGACAAATGTAGAATTACAAGAAAAAACATTATCATTACGAATTGACAGAAAAAACATTATCATTACTACGGCTTATCACGGATTTATATGGTAGTGATATCTAAATGTGCATGATTATTATTATTTTGCGATAATTCCAGATTTTTTTTTGTTTTTGAATTAGATAAACTTCTTGTGCATTTTTTTTAGCTAAAATATCGCGATATTTTTTTTTTTTTTTTTATTGTCCTCGTCAAATGATGCTGAAGGGTCGAGGGCATCCCAAACAGCATCTTACAAAGTCATTTCATGTATAATTTTAAACTGTATACAATGACAAGAAACAATAATATAAGATACATGTATATAGGAAAGTTACTTAATAGCTATAATATTAAACAAAAAAAAACAAACAAAAAAATATCCACAATTACTTGCCCACCTTTGTTACATGAACCATTGGTAGAATTTTCTTTGCTAAAAATTTAAATATGAACTTAATCTGAGGCGTCCTGAAAAATATTTTTGACCAGTTTCCATTCTTTTTCAAAATCTGATAATGTATTTCTTTTGAAAGCTATATTTCTGTTTAAATTGTATTGAAATTGAAGAAAAAATTTGATTCTAGGGAATGTCAAAGTTCCATTTAAAAATCTACTTTGAAAAATAAACTGTTTTATTAATAGTAATGTATTATACAGTGGTATATTGTTTGTACCTAGGATAATTTTTCTTTCATTCACTTGGAATTGTACATTATTTCTTTCACATACTTATTTTACCTCATTGAGAAGCCTAGATGTATGAAAACATGACCAAAAGGGATGCTCAATGCTTTCATTTTCTACATTACAATAAGAACAAAGTGGGGAGTCTTTCAATTTTAGTTTGAAAAGGTATTCGTTTATTGGTAATATTCTATGTAGTATTCTAAATTGTAGCCATTGTGCACTAGTATTTTTAGTGTTGTTAAAGGGCAAACTATAATAAGATTTCCATTTGGTTTGTTCAACTGAAAATTTATGTTGCCATTTATTCTGACTTGTTGGTTTTTCAGTGTTCTTGTTAAATATTTTGTATATGGCATTGGTACCTTGTTTATTCTTAATTATGACTGATAAGTAAGCAGGTAAGAAGGGTTGTTGTTGCTTATCTATTATATTTACATTGATTTTCATTTTTTTAAGAAATTTCTTAATACTATTTTTGATTCCCATATAATGCAGTATATTTATACTCAAACCAAATAGATTTTGTAAATGATCTTTAGTCAAGATTATATTGTCTTTATCAAAAATGTCATTAATACATGTAACACCTTTTTGGTACCAAGATTTGTAAAAAAACTTTTATCACCAATTACAATATTGTGATTATAAAATAACGGTTCATTAAGACAATTTTCTGCATCTGTGTTCATTAATGATATAAAATGTGAAAGATCTAGAAGAACATTTTTCCAAAATTGGTTGTTACAGGCCTTTGCCATTTTTTCAGCATAGTGTTTTCCGCAAGTGAACAATTTAGTTTCATCAAAATAAAGATGTGTCAGTGTCTGCCATTGGCTGTTATAGAAAATTAACCTTCTAATCCATGTTAGTTTCATTCCTCTGATAAATGCTTCTAAATTAATCATTTTTAGACCACCTTCACAGTATTCCTTTACTATAATTGCTTTTTTTACTTTGGCCGGACCTTGCCATAAGAAATCAAATAAGATTGTATTTATTTTTTTCAACATTGTTACATCAGGTGAAGGCAGTGTAAGGAATAGCTGATTCATAACTGGTATTAAGAGACTTTTGATGACAGTTATTTTACCTATTGGGGTCAAATATCTGCGATTCCAAAATTTTATTGAATTTTCTAATTTTTTTATTTTCTCTTTGTAATTTAGTTCCACCATTTTTTGTAGATCTACATGAAAGTGAATGCCAAGAAGTTTGAATTGTGATTGTCCCCAAAGAATTTTGAATTTTGTTTTTATGGAATAGGTGCTATATTTTTTTGATCCTAACCATATGGTACAAGATTTATCAAAGTTTATTTTAAGTCCTGAATGTCTTGAAAATTGTTCGAGTTCATTGAGTGTTTCATTAAGAGACTTATCTGATCCATCAAGTAAAAAAGAAGTATCATCTGCATATTGAGATATAATATGTTCTATGCCACCAACATTGATACCTTTAATGATTTGGTTCTGCTTAATTTTTCTGATTAGAATTTCGGTGCATAGGATAAAAATATAAGGTGATAACGGATCTCCTTGACGACACCCACGGCCGATTGTGAAAAAGTTTGAAAGAAAGCCACTTTGTATAACAGATGATTCAATATTATTATAAAATACCTTTATCCATTTTTTAATTGAATTACCAAAGTTAAATATGTCTAAGGTTTTTTGTAAAAATTGCCAAGAAATGGAATCGAAAGCTTTCTCAATAAGCAAAAGAAGACCAGGTAAATTGTTTTCATCTAAGTAATGCATAATATCATAAAGTAATCTAGTGTTTTCACCAATAAATCTTCCCTTTAAAAAGCCAGTTTGTTCTTTACTAATAATTTTATCTAATACAGTTTTTAACCTATTTGCAATTGAACCTGATGCAATTTTATACACTACATTTAATAGAGTTATGGGTCTCCAATTTTTTAACAGATGACGTGGTTTATTTTCCTTTGGTATGCAGGTTATAATTCCCTGTCTCTGAGTTATGGACATAAGACCAGTATCGAAGGCATAATTAAGGGAACGTACAATAAAGTGTCCTAGTTGTTTCCAAAATATTTTGAAGAAGTTTGAAGAGAAGCCATCACTGCCTGGACTTTTATCATTTGTCATAGATTGTAAAGTTAAACCTGCTTCCTTAAATGTTAGCTTGCCTTCATTTGAATTTGTCTCGAACTGATTAAGGGTAGGATTATTATCACTTTGCAGGTACATATTTAAATCTAAATTTTCATTATCATGATTTTTATACAGTTTTTCATAAAAGTCATACATTTCTTGTAATATTTCAGGCTGGTCTTTTATAACTTCACCATTTTCTTTCTCTAGTTTTGAAATAGTTTTATTTAGATAATTGTGCTTCTTCAGATTACAAAAAAAATTAGAGGGTTTTTCTCCTTCCTCAATCCATTTACTTTTTGATCTCAATATATGTCCTTTTAGTTTTTCTTCTCTTAAGGAGTTCCATTCTTGTTTTAATTGGAATAATTCATCTGAGTTTTCATTATTTAACCCATTCTCTAAAGACTGAATTTTATTTAATATTTCAGATTCTAACTTAGATTTCTTTTTTTTGACAAAACTTGCATAATTATGATATTGACTGTCCTCGTAATTCCATTAAAAGTGTTTCCAAAAATAATTGATCATTTATAATAAATTGTATTTCATCATTAGGTACATCATTTATGTTATCTAAATTATAAACAGGTAGACAATATTGTTGTTTTATATCATTAATTTTTTTGTTAATGGAGGCTATGTAATCAATATCATTTAAAAGTGCATTGTTATGTTTCCATAACCCTTTACCATGAGAAATATCTGAAAATTTTATATTTAGTGTTATAAAAGAATGATCTGATTTGTAACTTGATTGAATTTCACAATTTTTTATATCAGGGACCAGGTCTTCAGTAACAAGGAAAAAATCTAATCTTGCTTGTTGTACTGGGTTACATCTTCTCCATGTATATCTTTTAACACTTGGAAAGAAATCTCTAAATGGATCAATAAGCAGACGTTCAGTAATATGTTTTAGTAAGTTTTCCCTAGCTTTTTTATTATTTATTCTTTTATAATTATAGTAATCAATTTCTGGATTTAAAACTAAGTTAAAATCACCGCATATTATGTATTTATCATTATTTAGACCATATATTGTTTCAAAAACTTTTTCATAAAAATCTAGATTGTCATTATTTGGTCCATACAGATTTACAAGAGTTAACCTATTTTTTTCAACTGTAACATCTAATGCAATAAAGTTACCTATATCATCATTTATTTTTTGTGGATTTCAAATTCCAAATTTTTATTAAACAAAATAGCTACACCTCTAGCATTAGACTTAGAAAAACTAAATAGACATTCTCCACTCCACTGAGCATATATAGCTTTTTCTTGCTTTTTTTGTAAAATGTGTATCTTGTAAGCAATAAATATGGTGTTTTTGATCCTTTAAAAAGTTAAATACATCAATGCGTTTCTTGTAATCATTCAGGCCACGACAATTAAGGGATAAAATACTTAGTTCATACATATTACTAAAATGAAATGTTCAAAGCCATTGAGATCTTCTGAAGTTCTTAAAAAACAACTAACAATTCTGCACTGTGGGCAAGTTGAGAAAAAGAATATAAGAGTAAATAATAAATGGAAAAAAAATATCATGGACATGTACATATATATAAAGAATTTCTTTCAAAAACATTCCAAACAAAAATAAAAAAAAATCTTGTGCTTATTTAAGATTACTAGTTATAATTCAATACTTACTTAATTACTGTTTAAGATAATAACAACACAAAGAAGATACCAAGGATATGGTAATAGACTTATATTGTTTTCTATCCAATTATCCTTTCAAATATGTTTTAACATTAAGAGAAAAAAAATATCAAAGTGAAATTCTTATATGATGATAATAATTATCAAAATACCATAATTTATGTAAGAAAGAAATCATCAATAAATATACATTATTTTTATAAGTATATAATTATTATCAATGACAACAATAACTCATCATGATATTCTAGCAATAGAAGGAGTATTTTCAATAACCATGATAACTCTAATATGAAGAAAAGAAGAAGAAAAAACATTATTAATTACAATTCTGTTTTCAATATGAAGAAAAAACAATCATGAATAATTCTGATAATTTATAATATGAGGAAAGTTATCATATATAATTATGTTACTCCCTATATATAGTTCAAATTATCAATAAACTATTGTCATTCTTATTTGAAAAGAACACAAACATCAATAATCATTATTCTATTATGAAGGCGATAGTTATCCATAATCATGATAATTCTCATATGAAGAAAACCATCAATAATATTTCTTATATTTGAAGGAAAAATTATCAAAAAATAAAAGATATTTTTTTTAACTCACACGATATCTATGCTATTTGAAAAAATGTCATCTTTTCCTTGACATTTAACGTAAAATTATCATTTTATTATATAATTTGATATTTATTTATCATTATTTATTTGAATGAATGAATGAAAAGAACGAACAAACGAACGAACGCACGCACGCACGCGCTCACACGCTCACTCACTCACTCACTCACTCACCTAAGGATTGCAAGGGTGATAAAAATGTTAATGTTATATTTAGCTATTATAATAGCTAACAATATGTTTTGTATTTCAAAATTTATGTTATTTAAAGATTAGAAGTGATTGCAATATACAGGTATTGTTTCATTATATTTTAATAGATACTTCAAACATGGATACAGAAATAAAAATAGAATCAGAGTCACCCAAAAGATTTTCTAGCGTTCTTGAACTGAGAAGGATCAAGAGAAAAGAAGAAGACGAGGCGAATATTGAATGGAGTCGATTAGAGATGCCAGATCAATCTGCAATAGAAAGTCGTATGGACAACATCATTGAGAATTTAAAAAAGCAGTTTAAGGAAGAAAAGTTTGCTAGAAGACAAGCCCCCAAGGTTAGCACTTCCTATCAAGTTTTTTGTAATAGCGTTGACGCTTTCCTTCGTCATCAAGAGAACCCAAAAGTCAAATACCCAGAATCTAACAGAGAGTTACCCGGAAATGCTGTGAAACCAGACAAAATAACAAGCACTAAACAAATGTCAGTGGACACACCAGCTCAAACCAGTCCAGTTCATGAAGAAAGTCTTGATGATGATGAGGAGGATGCTGATGATGATGGTGACGATGTTCAACAAGCGAAACATAAAGAATGTGAAATTGTAATTTCTCAGATGCAAAATAACATTATTTTGCGCGATTTAAAAAACCATCCATTGCAGCGAAGCCTCTTCCTTAACAATGCCTCACTTCTTTGGTGAGTCAACAATCAAGAAACTGGTAACACAAACAATAGCAGACGACATAAAGCCCATGCCAAGTTTATTCCAAAAGAGACATACGAGCAATGCCTATTTCTTTTCTTTGAAACAAAAGAAGTTGATCAATGGCTGTTTGCTACCATCTCTACTTGCGCCTTCTCCATTTATTGGTTTAAACAGAAAGCAAATGTACAGGGAGTTCTATGAAGTGATATTCAAACCGACAGAACTGTCTATTCTCATAAGCAATTCAAAATATAAAGTTGGCAATCACAATGATAAATGTGAGCATCTGAAATGGCACAAAAGTCCATTATCGCTGATGATCAACAGCTACAAACAAAGAGAAAGAATGAACCAATAACACTAGACATTGAAAAACCCAAGGTTACTGACTTTAAAAGAATATTCAGTCTTGCCTTGCGTTACAATAGAGTTCCATGCACAAGAACACTGTCTATATTTGGTTTATATTTTACCCCTATACTCTATTATGGCAGAGAAGATGAAATGTCATGTGTACCTCACTCTCCAGCAAACTTTACAGTTGAACACAAACCTAAAAGTTGTTACCACATAAGCACGTTGCTAACTCTGACAACTACTACTTCATATGAAAATAAATTTTTAACAACGAATAAGGACATAATTACAGCATCATCGTATTTGAACACAAAACATCCTGGCGTAACAGATTTGGACAGTTATAAATTTAAGCCAGTCAAACATGTTGAGTTATTCGAAAACGTCTTCTTTGATAATATGGCGATCGCATCATCGCATCTGAACACCGAGTATCCTGCCGTAAAAGAATTGGACAGTCACAAATTGAAGCCAGCCAAACATGATGATACATCCGGAAAAGTCTTCTTTGATAATTTTGAGACAATGGAGAAGAACGACAATAAACAAGTTGAGGTTCAACCTGAAGAACTTGAAGTAATAATTGATGACGATGACGATGAATCGCCATTTGGAATACTGTCTGTCTATTGCAGAAGTGGAATTCATTCAAGGTAACTACTAAATATCTTAAAACAAAACTTTATTCATTGTAAAACACAACTGTATGTACTTATTCACTATTTACTGAAATCTTATTTACGTGTAACGTATACATTATATTCATTTGAGACATGTCACGACGCTATCAGTTTTACTACTTGTAATAGAGTTGGTAAGCGAACAGCATGGATCCTGATCAGACTGCGCGGATGCGCAGGCTGGTCTGGATCCATGCTGGTCGCAAACCCACTATGTTGGTTTTGTCATGACATGGCTCATTTATCGTTTGCTTAAAGTCACTGGTAATGTGTGACTTAAATTCTTACGATTTATTAATTTATTTTTTGTTTCAGATGATTCTACAGATGAAGGACAATAGATGAACAGAGATAGAAGACATTTTTGGAATTTAATTATTTTACATTATGATTAAAAATATTATCAAACGTAATTCGAGTTGCTTACTTTATTTTAATTAAGCCCCGTACCAACGTCTTGAGCGGTACTCAATTTTAAACACTTAAAAGTGTTAGATTAACGATCTGGAAGGACCCGAAAAATATAACAACACTGAAGTGAAGTACTTGGCAACTTTTTACAGCTGCCGCACGGATATTGACACCTGATGTTGTGAAGTATAAAAATCTCGGAGAAGGGTGATCCCTCGGAAGCATTAATCTCAACAAAATTACATGAAAATTGCAGACTCGTGTGATTGAGTCTGTACATTAGGGATAATGAAAAAGTGCAATATCCCATTGCAAATCCCCGAGCACCGGCTTGAGCGCTACTCATTTTTCATTACCCAAAAGTGTTGGAATCAATAATTCCGAAGGACCAAAAAATATAACAACACTGAAGCGAAGTATGGGATACCTTTTTACAGCTTGCACACAGCACTCGACACCTGCTCTGGTTAAGTGTAAAAATCTGGAAGAAGAGTGATTCTTCGAAAGCATTATTCACAACAAAATCACATAATAATTGCAGACTCGGTTTGACTGAGTCTAAACATGAAGGATAATAAATAGTGCAACATCCCTCACGCCCTCTACCACCGGCTTGAGTGGTACTCAAACATTACACCTTATTCTTAAATGATTTACTGCCCGTCTGTCAAACTGCCTTAGGGAAATAATTCCGTTTATTAATACAATTGGTGGGCGCGTAGTTACTCCCCTTAGATTATTACTGAATCAAATTTTCAATCAGTCAAATTTTAGGTACTTTTTAACAAAATTCCAATTCTTTATTTCCCTCAGTGCATCATACATGATACAAATATAAGGTATATAAAAATGAACATTTGTAAAAAAAAAAACAGCAGTACGTACATTGCAAGTCATTTACAGAGATCAATCATAACACTTAAAAATAGATTAACTTTTATTTTCTTCTTTCGTTCAGTAAGAAAGAAATTTATTTCTTGCATAGCAGACTGGCGTTTCCGTGTGTTTTAGCCATGCCGGAAATTTCATCTGGCATAGTGGTGCCAGATTAGTCGCGTGATGTACAATGGCACGCTTAGGATGACGTCATTTTACCGTTATGAATAAAGTTGCAATTTTATACGCTGTTGTAAGAAAGTAGTTACGGTTGTAATGATATAAATTTCCGTTGAAAATAAAGATAAAGAATTTAAAATATAATGGAATCTTGTAGAATATGCAAGAAAAAATATCTGACATATGTTTGCGGTTCGGATCGGAATATCCGTCCCTCGGTAACCGCCCATGGGCGGTAACTCGGCAAGCCTCGTTACCGCACAATGGGCGGGTCACCTCGAGACGGATATTCCGGTCATAGATCATTACAAAACATTTATACAAATATGGCAAAGTAAAATTATGTTATGAATTTGTTTGAAGCTATATTAAACAAAAATCATGAATATTGTTATGTTAAAACGAAACTAGATAATTATAGGCCTACATATATCATGGCGGATGCAACTTCAATGGTAACTGCCCTTTATTTCATGCTTTCCAGTGTTTTATAGTAATATATCGGATGATTATATTCTGATAAACCACTAGTGAAATTTATAAAATATAATTTTCACTGTAGCCGGACTATATCCGAATGCGGATGAAAAGAAAATTAAACTAAATGGAATAACAAGCAGAAATAAATGCCGTCATACGTAAATTGTGATTCTTTAGGAAAAGAAAGTCGATGTTACCATACATGTGCGCATCATGTTAAAAAATGTATAAAAATTAGAGAAATTTAACAGAACTATATTTCAAAATTGATGATGTGACGTCATGATGTGATGACGTCACAAAGGAGAATGCGCGACGTTACGCGGCAAAATCAGTGAAAAATACTTAAAATCACTTAAAAAGCATGAAATAAAAAGAAAATTTATTTGTTTACATAGTTAAGATTGAAATATATTTCATTCGTGAACACCAGCTATTATATTTTCACTCGTGGCTACGCCACTCGTGAAAATATTGCATCTGGTGTTCACTCAGTGAAATTATATTTCAATCTTACATGCAAAACAAACAAATATCCTCTATATAACACTTGCCTGATAATTATCTTTGATATCAGGTCAGTAACCTGATATCAAAAATAAGCCCCGCCCATTTTAACGGACTTTTTTCAATTGCTTATATTCTCATTTTCATCAGCATGTGAATTCTACAATATATTCTCATAGCCTTACAAGACTTGAATCATCAAGATGCGATATTTATTTATTATTTCGATTTCGATTTCAATTACGAATAAATTAGATAGCAAATAAATGAAGTGACGTCATAATTTATATTGCAAATGACATCATCGATGTTCACGTCATACTAAATACTATAGAGGCTATTCGTTGCCAAAAATCCAGCCTTTGAAACTTGACAATGCATACTTCGGTTCTACTAAACAGATCAGTAAAAATCTAATTGTCGATCCGAGAGTTACATACTGCACTGGTATTAAGCATTTTGATTATCTCGATTTGATAAAATGAAAGCTGTTAACATGCAACTTAGATAAATTGCAAACTGTATTTATATATGTTTAACTTCAAATTTGCGACATGTAGAAATGTAAACGATAGAACGTACACAATACGTTTAATGCTGTCTGTGCATCATGACGTTGAGAATGTAACTGCATGAACTTGACACACTCAGGTTTACAACACCACACTTTCCTTTTACATTCTAACGCGATTAACATTTGTAAACGATTTTGCTACTTCAATATATGGAATTATCACGGAAATAGACGAAAATTAATAGGCGGAGCCAATTTCACGAAAGCAAAATATAAAGAGAGGTAACTCTTGCTGGTACAAAAATATTTCAAATTATATAGAAACTGTTATAAGTTTCACATACATCAACTGCATTACAGTTGACTTTGAACATCCTCTAATTTTGTTAAAACGTATTCTAGTACAGGATATTCAAGTAATGCAAAACTGGTTAAGATATGATGTAAAAATGTAACAACGTATATACTGATAATGAGCATAATAATATGCAAAAACTAAAGTTGGTGAAATAACATAAGGGAATATTTCCCATATATAATGACACACACCACTATTCATTGATAACCAAGATAGGATTTTGTGCTCATAAACAAATCTTAATTTTACCTTCAGCAAATAGTACTAAAATGCGATACATGGAAGGCACTTTTGGCAACACGAATAAAGAGAACTGAACAATAAGCATATGCCTTCTTTCTTTAAAGGACTATGTTTGGTTGTATAAAAAAACTCATATTTTTGACCAAGTGTATAACCACGAAACAATTCAAAGTTTACTATCGATAATTCCGTTGTATAACCAAAAACTTGTGAATTTGTCCCATTTTAATGTTGAAATAAATATTCAGTGTATCCTAGCAACTCTGTTTACCTCCATTGGGAGGTATTTTGAGTCATAGGATGTGATTTAGCCTTTTATTGTTAAATATATGTAAGCTGGCGTAGGTTAAGGTCTTTTTATGCATTGTGCTGAATCAATAGCACCTCTAAAATATGTGTATACATGCTGTCATTAGCTGTTACCTAGATTTGCTGTCTATATGATCAAAAGCAGAGAACTATTTTTATGTACATGAAATACTACACAGAATATTTATTAAGTTTTGTAAGTGATGGCTTTCTAAGAGATAAAATAAACAAGGTATACATAAATTGATAATCAACATACATACATTTGGACTCATTAAAATTTTACTTATTGAAAAACAAAATGGAAAAATGAGAAAATATATGGTAAAAATAAAAAGTTATGTACGAAAGGGTACATACAAATTTGGTTATAATTTTACTATTGTTAAAAGTTTTTTTCTTGTCAAGTCATACGCTAGAATTAAGGTTACTAATATAATAGTACTACTAGGAAAGACAACAGCCAGAATTTAGTCTGTATTAGTAATTAGTCGTATCAAAATCTCTATCAGATGTTGACTTGAAAATTTGAAAGTGGTAAGGTAGCAGCTTAACTGTAAATGTTACTCATTCCTATGCAAATTGGAATACCATCAGTAAAATTTATTTGTCGTTGAATATAGTCTTATCAATAGTTTTCACTTCCTTGAAAAATATTTAACCTCAGACAGTATGTTACCTGGTGTTTTTTGTGTTTTGTTTCTAAGTTTCTTTTTCTAGGAAATGTGGTGTCTGCAACGTTTTAAAACTTATATGCCTATAATCCTTTAAAGTCCGCTGATGTTGATTGTAGGCAATCATGCAAGTGAATTATGTTTAGTAACTCAACACCTAAAAGGTATGGTTTTGCTTCTTGCCGACGGTAAATACCGAAAATGAGCGGATAAATACGTTTATTTACGATGATTTAGTGGGCGGGAAAATGGGCGGAGCTTATTTAATCTCCTATTGAAAAACGTGTAAAGCTAAATTATGCTGATCCGAATCATGATGGTTCGACAATCTAAAGCTAAGAATGTAACTTCTATTTTGAGTATTCGAACACTTGGTATTGCTACTATCAGTTAATGTTTTGTCGTTTAACAAAATGTATTTTGTTGAAATGCATGTTTACAATGTTAAATCGGCAAACTCAATCCAAGAATGCAACATTGGAGTTTACATACAAAGAAATACAATTGTATTTTTTCCATTAACAAACTGTTCAACTCAGATCAACAAGGCTGGATTTTTGGCAACGAATAGCCTCCATAAAATACATGCAATCATAACAAACAGGCTAGACGATTTTCTTTGAGAACTTGTAAACGTTGGATTATTATTTCATAAGTGAACAAATTGTTTCGTTTAAAAAATAAGACGCATGTTTGTGTAGCTTGTGTTTGATTGCCAATGCCGATTTGACTTTTGTTTGATTGAAATTATCGTGAACTTTTTAATTTGACAATAATTCAAGACAAAAAGTGCGGTAAAGTTTATGTGATTCTTAGGGATGTTTTTGATCGATGTTTAAAGGTAAGAATTTTATCGTGTTA